GGGGAACAAATTGGGAATTTCCGATAAGATCACAATCGTGAATGAAGGAGGAGATAATGTTTTTGTCCCTCCGTTGGTGAAACTTATCCCAGGCGTAAACTGGGCCATCAGGATAGAAGGGTGGGGTGGGGAAGGGAGGGGAGGGGAGGAATGGGGCCAGAGGATCAGGGTTATTATACTCTCTTAGTTTAAACGTACCCCGCGGATATGGTGTTCAAGATATTGGTACGGTAAATAGGCCTGTACTCAAAATCTCGGTAGATTTTTTCAGCTCGACTGGCTTTTTTTTTTTTTTTTTTTTTTTTTTTTGCTATAGATAAAATAACAAAGGGCCCAAACATATTTCATAAAGTCTATCAGAAATGTTTCCCAAATTATTTAACAAAATTTGTGACCAAATTAATTCGTGTAAACTTGTAATTGACCACCTACAAATCAATTAATCAGTTACGTTATCTCTAGGGTAACGAAATAATTAATTAGTTATTTAATTAATCATGTAAGACATTCTTCAACCATCGGTCACAAAAAAAAAAACGGGTCATTTGTCGGATTCAGGACTGCAGAAATTCCAATAACAAGAAGACGTTTACACTAATTGAACGCGCCCTTTTATAAATTTCCTACAGGCCAAAGATGCGTTCTACGATCGCTAGGGGAGACGAAATTGGGGAGGAACATAAAAGACACAGACAGTTAAAAAGCGCAATTACATGGAGGCACTTAATTCATCCAGAGACCGGGCTTTTGGAGGGTTTTCTACGGGTATTGGACGTGTTAAGGGCGGGTTTTTGGACTAGTTCAACGCGGGTTTTGGTCGAGTTTTTGGACTAGTTCAACGCGGGTTTTGGTCGAGTTTTTGGACTAGTTCAACACGGGTTTTGGTCAAGTTTTTGGACTAGTTTAACGTGGGTTTTGGTCAAGTTTTTGGACTAGTTCAACTCGGGTTTTGGTCAAGTTTTTTGAATTTTGTGAGGAGTTTAGGGCGAGTTTTAGAAGGGTTCAGGGCGAGTTTTAGAAGGGTTTAGGGCGGATTTTCGAAACGCGTTTATGGCGGGTATTGAAAGTTGTTTAAGGCGAGTTATTAAAGGGTTTTGTCGGGTTAAGAACAAGTATTGAGCTACCACACAACCCTATAGACTAGTCGAGTGATACAATTTAGAGCAAATGTGGATAGAGGGGGAGGGGAGGGATAGAGCGAGAACACAGACAACAATAATGGGGTGAGTAGAACCATTCGGGAGGGAGGGGAAGGAACGCTGCGTTCTGTGTGCTCGGCGTGGGGGGGGGGTGTAGGGCGTGTGACCAGTATTGTGCAAATCACGCGCATGCAAAAAATGTTGTCAAATAGAGAACCGGAATCATATCAATCAGCCTTGTCTCCCCTTCTTCTCCGCCATGATGGGGGGCTATTTTTAGACGGGGGCATCACGAGGGCCGGCCCGCCGAGGGACGACAAGTGTATTCATCGTCTGCTACCTGGCACAATGGAAGGTGGGCACTTCCGGCTTATGCACGTGCACGCTAGAATCAGGGTGAAAGACGAGGCGTCGCATACGTAAGATTTCTGGCACTGGGATCACGAACGTGATCGGGGAAAGGTCGCCGTCAGCGTGACAATGACGTGTAGCAACATGGGTATGACGTGACAATGACGTGTAGCAACATGGGTATGACGTGACAATGACGTGTAGCAACATGGGTATGACGTGTTTGAAAACATTGTGAAATATAGCCCCCCCCCCCCCCCCCCCCCACCAATCCTCCTCCCCCTCCCTGTAGCATTTACAAAAAAAGATTGGCTGGCAGTCTGACGACGACTTGGGTATATAGAAGAATTGGGCGGTCAAGCTATAATAGTATCCAAATTATAATCTGATAATCTGATCTATATATATATATATATATATATATATATATATATATATATATATATATATATATATATATATATATATATATATATATAATAATAATAATCTGATAATCTGATGTGTATATATATATATAGATAGATATATATATAGATATATATATATATATATATATATATAGAGAGAGAGAGAGAGAGAGAGAGAGAGAGAGAGAGAGAGAGAGAGAGAGAGAGATATTGTATGGTCCTACTAGAGTTATAGACCAATTGATAATCTGATATCTAAGATATACAAGTGTGCTATGATATGCATGATGGCCTTACTAGACAACCATTGCTTTAATATGTCCTATCACTAGGCACAATTGCTTCAATATGTCCTATTACAAGACAACTATTGCTTTAATATGTCCTTTTACCTTATAACTATTGCTTTAATATGTCCTATTACAAGACAACCATTGCTTTAATATTTCCTATTACAAGACAACCATTGCTTTAATATGTCCTTTTACAAGACAGCTTTTGCTTTAATATTGTCCTTTTACTAGACAACTATTGCTTTCGTTATGTCCTATTACAAGACACTATTGCTTTCAACAAAACATGAGATAAAAATCATATTTAATAAATTATTCCAACCCACCAAACCTTTAAATGTACAACTCACTAGGAAAAGCCGCTAAAAAATGCCAGTCCATAATCATTTTGAGCAAGAATATCTCTGCCACTATTGCTTGGCTTAACAAAGAGAAGATCCACTTATTCAACTTATTCAAACCCTTACTAAATGTTTAACCACTTGCGGGACCGCGCTTTTAACCATTTTTCTGCTAGTATAATTTTTCTCATTACAATGTTTATATTGTGATAATAAGCCATCATCAAATTGATATTCTCGATTAGCTTTAAAGCTTGAAATATTTAACGCAGAAACCTGTTCCATTTTTCAACCATCTGCCATTGCGAATGATTGTGTTATATTAAACCCTCCCCTTTTCCCTATTACATCAATTTCCTGGTGACTGGAGTAATTTCCCTTCCCTCTTGTGGCCAATTTTTTTCCCTCCTCCAGACCAAACTTTGAATTCGCATTCTGAAAATGAAAATCATTTATTTATTCATGGGCGTCTTCCTTACTGGATCCCTGCGAATATGGGCACTGTCGTAGCAGTTCATTATTTTTTTCCTTTCTCCTCTTTTTTTTTTTTTTTCCATTTTAGACAATTAAAGATTAAATAGATGTTGAAGGCAACGAAAATTGTACTTTTAATCAAATTTATTTTTATACAAATCACAGATCTCAGCAATATTTTTTAATCTCTATTCAGTCTAACAAATCGGTTTCGATACAGGAGATGTTTAAAGTGGGAACTAGTTGGGACCCGTCCATTATAAAGCTCTGTTTGTGTAACCGCTATAATATTCATGAAGTTTACATGACAATTGTGACGGTTAAGGGAGAGGGGGGGGGGGACGATGCACTTTTATTTTCTAATTTACAGATCTAAAAGAGGAACGACAAAATCGATGTTATGTCTCCTATATTAATATACCTATTAAAACACTGATCAGTGGGACGAATGTGTGTCTTTGTATCTGCAACATATTATTTGTAGAACGGCACCTACGACAAAAGGGGCTTGACCTAGCACATGTGTATGTCATGAATTTAGATCATGTGTGTGGTAGATCCTGGAGATATTTTATTCTGGGTCAATATGTCTGCATGAAGCCTCGTTCTGGAACTTGAACCCAATGCCCGCTACTTGTAATCTCAAATGGTTTCCACTCTCTGGTCCTCGACTTTAAAAAATGAACAATTCGCTTCTCTACTTCTGATTTATTGATAGCGTTCTCTTTACTTCTGGTGAAGATCTAATCAATCATGTGTGTGTGTGTATATATATATATATATATATATATATATATATATACATATATATATATATATATATATATATATATATATATATATATATATATATATGTGTGTGTGTGTGTGTGTGTGTGTGTATGTATGTATATGTATAGGTATAGGTTTAGGTATAGGTATAGGTATAGGTATAGGTATAGGTATGTGTATGTGTATGTGTATGTGTAATGTGTAATGTGTGTAGGTGTGTGTATATGTATATGTAGATAATTACATGCATATTCTATATACCTTGACGTGATATGCCTTGACATTGTATTAGTGTATTTTCCAGGTACTACAAAATCTTTATGCAATTTATCAGTCTTGTCTTGCAATGGCTATTTATATTTGAGGAAGTAGCTTAATTAACGTTTAGTATTAATTTCATGCTAAACTATCTGATAAAAAATCAAAGTAATTCAGACTTCATCGGAAATTTAATACCGTTTTTATTGAATGTTGAAATGAAAAATTTTCTGATAACGTTTCTTAAATCCCAGTTGGCTCTCGCTCAGGTCCGCTGAATATTTTTTGTTGAAATACGTTTCAAAATACTGTTGGATGTAGTCCCAACACTTCAGCAACGGCTGCTTGTATTTTTGTTTAACAACACAATGTATTGATGACCTTGACCTACGTATACAGCCATCATTGTTCACGTGAGATCACAGCTATACATCAACTAAAATGAGAAAATGTCATATTGTTGCCTTGTTTTGTACGAAACACAATTCGATTCTAGTGTCTCAGCTACATCGTGATGGATGGACCGAATAGCTCACTGACAAACGTTAAGATGTAGCTGTTTTATCAAGTGGTCAGGAGGCGTACCAAGGTTACTTGTTAAACTGATGATATAGTTTGGCTACAGTATAAGATTAAACACAAATGTCCTCTACCAAACTAAACACAAATGTCCTCTACATGTCCTCTACATGTCCTCTACATGTCCTCTACAGTATCAGGCTAAACACAAATGTCCTCTACATGTCCTCTACATGTCCTCTACATGTCCTCTACATGTCCTCTACATGTCCTCTACATGTCCTCTACATGTCCTCTACATGTACCCTACATGTCCCCTACATGTCCTCTACATGTCCCCTACATGTCCTCTACATGTCCCCTACATGTCCCCTACATGTCCTCTACATGTCCTCTACATGTCCTCTACATGTCCTCTACATGTCCTCTACATGTCCTCCACAGTATCAGACTACATGGAGCCTACCTACCCCGAGCCTGTGTTCCTGCCCCGCCTACTTGACGTCACAGTCCGAGAAGGTGGACGGGCAGTTCTGCCTTGTGCCGTGCACTTCCTGGGCACCAAGCAGGTGAGTGATCCACATTGGTTGACAGTTTTAACTTAGCTTACCAGTCTTTCTACAACTGGGCCGTGTTGAAGCCTTAGAGTCGCTAGAGAGATTGACAATTTTAACTTAGCTTACAAGGTCTAGTATTTCTAAAGCATGGCCGTGTTGAGTTCGTTGAGCCGCTAGAGTGTCTTTCTACAGCTCTTGTTGGGGCCCTTAGTGTCGCTCGCCTTGCTAGCGTTCTTAAAAATACTGGTGTCCCAATCTACTTGAAACAAAAAATGCTCTGTGTGTGAATTCCTTCAGTTTAATATGTACTTGAATGTTAATGTCCCAAAACTTTCAGAGAAGTTCTAGGAGAAAACTCCAGTGCTGTATACAATTTAATTTATGTTGTTCATGTATATTTATCGTGTAAGCATAATGCAGTACATATTTCAAGTGGTAAATACAAATATTTTTTTTTCTGCTCCGTACCTAGGTGACATGGCGTCGTATGGGAGACACCCACTTCCTGTCGGTGGGCGGTTTTCTGTGGGTGAAGGACCCAAATTTGAACATTCAGTACAATGAGATCACTCCGGAAGTGACGGAGTGGAACCTGGAGATTAAAAAAGTGAAACCAGAGCACAGCGGAGTCTACGAATGTAAAATATCAGACGTGGTCCCTCTCATTAGAAATGTCACGTTAAATGTGACGGGTAAGTTGTTTCCCCTATGTTGAGTGGTTGGCCTTGATGAAATGTGTATGTGTCTGTCTGTTTGACTGTCTGTCCTCTTGTCTTTCTGTTTCACTGTCCGTCTCTAATTTGATTTCACTTGGTGTGCAACTCTTTTTTCTATGAGATTTTATTCTATTTTAAAAAGTTTAAGTATTTAAAATGGATTAAAAATCATGTCTATATCCCGAGTTGCCATCCCCTGTTGTTTCATATAAGAATATTCGAGAAAGTTTAGGGGAGATCACTCCCGGTTTATTTTATTTGAGTTCATTTATTCGCGTTTATTAATTTGTAGCAGATATCTTCAAAATAGAAATTAGCGTTACCTTGACCTACCAATTAGTTTTTATAATAAAAATTACACATAAACATCTTTTAAACTTCCCTTAAGTCTCCAATTTTTAAAGTTTTTTTTAAAAATCGGGCGTTTAAATTGTATGATTTTTTTTCAAATTCCAAACATGAAGATTAAAAAAAAATCTTTAAAAAAATCATTTTAAATAAACTGAATGCATCCGTTATAAAAATAAAAAACAAGATATTATTTACCTTTACAGTTTATTACATTTAATTTTTAATACAATTTTCTATTCCCCAGGGCCTCCGATAGTTGAACCAGGTAAGCTTTTAAAAACATTATCATGTAAAAAAAAATGTGTTCATATACAAATGCTACATCTGCGACATGAAAAAGTAATCCAATTTTTGAAGGAATTTCATTAATATTTTAAAACTTCTCTCCAGTTTCCAAGATATTTTTCAATTTGGAATCGCCGGACATTTTCCTGGAAATTTTTTCTTGTAATTAGCTTATTAATCAGCTAATTTTAAAAAAAAGATGACAGATTAAAATCTAATTAATCAAAATATCCTTAATTGAATGTAAAAAATTCTTTTGATCATGCTTAAAACAAAGGCTTGCCATATTTTTACTGATTTATTTTCTCTTTAAAATTTTTGATTATGTTGGGCCAAGTCTTGTAACAACTAAAATCACGCTATCTAATCTGTTGATATTGTCTCACAATACTAAAATCTCCACAGTAAAGATCATTATGGCCTTATACTCACTAAAATCAATTTATCCACTCATATAATGTCTTACTCATCTACTATCCACCAACTATTGAATTTGATTTACAACCATCATTGATTATTTTACAATCGCCATTCTATATCCCTCCAATCATTGATCTCGTGTTTCAATTACAATCATTAAATTACAATCATTAAATCACTGTCTTACAATCATCTGTCATCTATCTACTTTTATTTCTGATTCTCTGTCTGTTTGTCTGCCAGTCCTGTCTTTCCGATTCTCTGTCATCTGTCTACTTTTTTTATTTTCATTTTATCCTTATCATTCTAATCACCAATTATTTACATTGTCTTACAATCAAAACTCTCCTAGCAACCAATCATTGACCTTGTCATACAATCACTAATCACCCTTCCTCATTAATTGATCTTGTCTTTCTATAAAAAAATATCTAGTCCACAATCAATCACACTTTCATAATAATTACCAGTCGTCCTTCCTCAATAATTGAATTGTACAATCAAAGCTCTCACATCCACAATCATCGACCTTGTCACACAATCACCCCGTCATCCATCCTCAATCATTGACTTTCACAATCAAAACTCTTACATCCTCAATCATTGACTTTTACAATCCAACCCCTGACCTCCACAATCACTGACCAATCCCCAGTCAGCCGCCCCCCAATCATCGTGTCCGGCAAGAACTACGTGGAGCGCGGCCAGTCCATCCACCTCTACTGTAACGCCACAAGCCAGGAGGGCATTGACCTTAGCATCCGCTGGTTCAAGGACGGTGACCGGATTGACCCCGCCAGCTACAAGCATGTCGTCATCACTAACTACAACCTTGTCGAACAGGGGTAAGGTCGTCTCAAGGTCGTTTCGAAAATTAGGTGAAGGACGAGGAGATCTGATAATCAAAGAACAGTAGCGAACTTAAAAGTATAGATTAACTATTGAAACAAGTTAACTGACCTATAAACTAACCTACAAATTAAGTCACATATGTACTAACATACGAATTAACTGATTTACTAGCTAACCCACCTATGAACTAATCAACCAACGTACGGATTAAGTGGCCTACGAACTAACTGATCTACGAATAAACTGACCTACACAGTGGCTGGACTACGAATTAACCGACCTACGTACTACCCGAACTACGAACTAACTCGCTGACCTACGTACTAAGTGACCAGTGAACTAAGTGACCTAATAATTAACTAGCCTACGAACTAAGAGACCAACGCACTAATTGACCTACGAATGAACTGACCTAGGTACTAACTGACCTATCAACTAACGAACCTACGAAGTTACAGACCTACGAATAAACTGACTTAGACATGACTAACCTACGAATACAGAGCGCGTTTTAAAACCAAACTGCCCATGTGCCCTACACAGTTTCTGTAACTCACGTTTGTCTGTCCACCCTACACCGTGTCTGTAACTAATGTTTGTCTATCCAGTATCCTGGTGAGTGAGCTGTTCATCGACAGAAGTCAATCCTCGGACACAGGGACCTACATCTGTAGGTCATCAGCAGACTACATCGACAGCATAAAGGTCACTGTTCTCTTCGGTAAGGTCCTATTTACTTATCTTTACTTAACTCTTGCTGATAGTGGCGTTAAACAACATCGACAGCATAAAGGTCACTGTTCTCTTCGGTAAGGCTCCACCTATCATTATTAAACTGTTGATGACGGTAACATTGAATGGACTCAAAGGATGATAGTGAAACAAGAGAATCTTTAAAAAAATAAATGGTAGTACTCACAACAAGACGTGTAAAGTTTTCGCTCTCTTTCAACTGCTATGGTGCCGGATTGTACATGTCAAAAATATTTTTGTTTTAAATGCACTGCTAAGATATACAAAGTCTTAAAACTAACAGCGTGCTATGTAGGCCTACCCACAAACTTTCTTTCATCGGTTGTTTCTGCAATGTATGAGTTGAATTGTGTTTCCTGAATTATTTTAGTTCAAGGTAGTTTCATCGATTTTTGTTCCATTTATAATACAAATTTACATTGTATAGTTTACAACAATCAAAATATAGATTGTATTTGTAAATACTTAAAAATAAAATATTAAATCAGTGTTTTGTGTAAAAGTCAGACCACTCTTCGTTTCACAAGTTTGTTCCCAAGTTCCTTCCTACGAGTTGAATTGTGTTTCCTGAATTATTTTAGTTCAAGGTAGTTTCATCGATTTTTGTTCCATTTATAATACAAATTTACATTGTATAGTTTACAACAATCAAAATATAGATTGTATTTGTAAATACTTAAAAATAAAATATTAAATCAGTGTTTTGTGTAAAAGTCAGACCACTCTTCGTTTCACAAGTTTGTTCCCAAGTTCCTTAATATTTTCCTTTTTTTCCAAATTTTTTCCTACTTTCCAGTTGTATTTTAAAAATTGTCCTACTTTTTTTATCTGCTTATCCCATGTTTCCGGTTTTCCCAAATTTCGTAACATTATCCTATGCAGTCCCAATTTTATCCCGATTCCCTGTTTTCCCAATGTTATCCGATTTGCCCTAATGTTTTCCTATGTGTTCCTCTATTATCCTAACCTACCCGGTTTCCTTAATGTTTTCCTAATGTTATCCGATTTGTCCTAATGTTTTCCCATGTTTTCCTCTACTATCCTAACATTATCTGGTTTCCTCAATGTTTACCTAAAGTTTTCCTATGTTATCCGTTTGTCTTAATGTTTTCCAATAGTATTCTAATGTTATCCGATTTGCCCTAATGTTTTCCTATGTGTTCCTCTAGTATCTTAACATTATCCGGTTTCCTTAATGTTCTCCAATGTTATCCTAATGTTATCCGATTAGCCCCATTGTTTTCCTTTGTTTTCCTCAATTATCCTTACATTATGTGGTTTCCTCAATGTTTTCCTAACGTTTCCCTATGTTATCCTAATGTAACCCGGTTTTCTTAATGTTTTTCCAATGTTATTCTAATGTTATCCGATTTGCTCTAATGTTTTCCTAACGTTTCCCTATGTCTATCCACAGCCGATACGACCAACGTAAAACGAGGTATGTACACAAATAACCATGAAAACAACGGTACTATAGAACAACCTTACGGCAGTCTAGACAGTATAGCACAACATGACCGGACTATAGAAATAAGAACGGAACATGACGTCACAAGTATGAGTGAGTAGAACAATGGATTTATGAATGGAAGAATATATGCATTGATGTTGATATGTGTTTTGAATAGAGAACTTTATAAATCCGTATGAGACAGTAGGGGGACAATGTCATTATCATAACAATTATTTTGTTCTTGTGATCCAATAGGCGAGAATGTGTATAGAAGATAAAGCAGGACAAAACTTTAAGATATAAACTTGACGTGTGTTTTTGATAATAGTTTAAATGTATATCGTTATTGTGTTATTTTAAAAAAGTGTGTGCCATTGGTCATAGTATTAACATCAATTAATTATACAGATATTTGATCATTAATATTAGCATCAATTAACTATACAGACATTTGGTCATTAATATTAACATCAATTAATTATACAGATATTTGATCATTAATATTAACATCAATTAACTATACAGACATTTGGTCATTAATATTAACATCAATTAATTATACAGACATTTGGTCATTAATATTAACATCAATTAATTATACAGACATTTGATCATTAATATTAACATCAATTAATTATACAGACATTTGATCATTAATATTAACATCAATTAATTATACAGACATTTGGTCATTAATATTAACATCAATTAATTATACAGATATTTGATCATTAATATTAGCATCAATTAACTATACAGACATTTGGTCATTAATATTAACATCAATTAATTATACAGATATTTGATCATTAATATTAACATCAATTAACTATACAGACATTTGGTCATTAATATTAACATCAATTAATTATACAGACATTTGGTCATTAATATTAACATCAATTAATTATACAGACATTTGATCATTAATATTAACATCAATTAATTATACAGACATTTGATCATTAATATTAACATCAATTAATTATACAGACATTTGGTCATTAATATTAACATCAATTAATTATACAGACATTTGGTCATTAATATTAACATCAATTAATTATACAGACATTTGATCATTAATATTAACATCAATTAATTATACAGACATTTGATCATTAATATTAACATCAATTAATTATACAAACATTTGGTCATTAATATTAACATCAATTAATTATATAGACATTTTGTCATTAATATTAACATCAATTAATTATACAGACATTCGGTCATTAATATTAACATCAATAATTAAACAGAAATTTGGTCATTAATATTAACATCAATAATTAAACAGAAATTTGGTCATTAATATTAACATCAATAATTGAACAGAAATTGGGTCATTAATATTAACATCAATAATTAAACAGAAATTTGGTCATTAATATTAACATCAATAATTAAACAGAAATTTGGTCATTAATATTAACATCAATAATTAAACAGAAATTTGGTCATTAATATTAACATCAATAATTAAACAGAAATTTGGTCATTAATATTAACATCATTTAACTATACAGACATTTGGTCATTAATATTAACAATTTTCCTGACTTAATGTCCAGTCAGTTGACCATCTATTTTTTTTCTGACCTCAGGTGACCCGAGCGAAGGCCCAGACAACCAGCGACTGGAATCCTCAACGACCCGCCCTCAGTGCCTTGTGTCTGCCCTCGTCTTGGGACTGATGCTCTCCCTTAGCCTGTCTTGACAGATTGAACACTCCACACGTCCAACATCGGAATGACGTCAATGTGAAGTGATAGATAGACGTCAATGTAGGGAGAATGATAAAGATAAAACTCCACACGTCCAACAACGGAATGACGTCAACGTGAAGTGATAGATAGACGTCAATGTGAGGAGACTGATAGAGACAAAACTCCATACGTCCAACAAAGAATGACGTCAGTTTAATACAATTTATAGACGTCAATGTGAATACAGTCAAAACTTCTCACGTTCAAAATGAACACAGTATGACGTCAATCAAGAACATCTGTTCACAAAATGTGCTCAGCGCTCAGTCTGCGGGGAGTATGCTTCGCGGAATAAGAGCAATCTGATTCGCGGAGCTATAATTAGGTTATACTAGGCTACCCGTTATCCTTGGATAACTGTGGAGCTTTTGTCCTTCGTTCTTCTAAACAAAAATTGTACTGAAAAATTCGCAAGATGTGTAGTTTACATCCACTAGACTCAGAGTGACATGAAAATCTCGATATTTTATTCCAAAATAGGTGATCCTTAAATGTAAGCCTACAGCTTTATTAAGCCGACGAACACCGGAAGAGAGCATTTTTCAGATTTCTAAATACTGCATACCTAGTTTGATAAATCACTATTTCGATACAGGGATTTGGACCAATTGTTGAAATTAACTGGACATCGATTTAAAAAATTGTAAACTATTTTGATACGCAAAATCATTTCTCATCCAACTAAAGTCAAATGTTTAGTAACAGAAACAGTGACGCTCAGATTTCCGTTCTGCAGCCTTCTGAACTGAAGTGTCGCTTTTCGCGTGTTTGTTAATGTATGGTTGTCTAGCTACCTCGGTCCACATTTGTACATAGACTTTGATAAAGGGAGAGAACTTTTTCGAAGAAGGGAAACAACTCTGATTTGGATATTGCGGATCGCAAACTTCGGAGAAATAAATAAAAGACTAACTGTAACTTTCTTTTTAGTGGCAGGCAAGAAACCAGGTTGTGATTAGACATCTTCCATCAAGTTGTATATTTTCCAGCACAAAAATTAAATTAATCATATCAATCAAACAGGTTATCATATCGTCCATCGTGTAGATAATAAATGGCTAGCCTCCCTTGATATACTTCGCTATAATGGTGTACAATTTATTTATTTGTTGTTGTTTTACTTGTGTATATTTGTTGAAAAATGTGAGGACGTTCTTTGTGTGATAGGTGATAGTGGATGTCTGCGTGTGATTTATTACGGTTAGCTGTGTGGGTGACTTATGTGATATAGGTTATCTGTGCGGGGACTTTATGTGGTTAATAGCGGGTTATCTGTGTGGGGAATTTTATGAGGGTTATTGTTTGTTATCTGTGAGGGTGACTTGAGTGTCATGCATGTGGGAAGTGTGTGTGAGTGATGTTAGCGTAATGATTGTGAAATTTGTTCACGGATAACTTTTATGTGAAGTTAGTACATCATAAGTGTGCATGATCTTCAGGTGATATAGTTAGGTTTGGTTGTATGTGTGGGTGATTCTAAAGATGATTTTTGTGGGTGACTGAATGTATTTTTTTTTGCTAACTTTCTAGTCATCTGTGTGGGTTTTGTATGTGGGTGATGTGCATACGTGGCATACACAGAAGACCCGAGCATGTTTCATATTTGGATGTCATATGGAAATGACATGTACACAGCATGTACACATAGGTGAAGATGTCAAATTACCTTTATGTACAATCTATGTCACACATAAATATCAACACGCTTAGTGACCTAGATATAATGTGACGTGTTCCACCCGTCTCCGGTCTGTAAAATGACCTATATGTCAGTGACCCATAAAAGTGATCTAATCGTGTGACCTAATTAAACGAAGCGTGCCGGTGTGGAAAACTATTGCTGGTCATATTATGAGACATTTGAGGATAAATTTAGAATATGTCTTGTAACAATGATATGCCGCTGTGAGATAGTCTTCAAGGAAATAAAACAATGACTAATGTTTAATAAATGATGTAAACATTGATTTACTTATAATTTACATGTTGATACTCATATGAAATCCACTTGTTGTTTTTATGTACGTATTTATTTATTTATTCAATGAATTAAACTTTGTTTTCTTAACGATAATATGTTGCTAAGAGATTTATTTTAATTCTATAAAATATGTTTTACCGCCTTACGTTTTAAATTAACTAGATATATTAAGACATGCTTGACTGTAGAATCTCAAACATTAGGATTTTAGCCCCATAGGTCTATTTGTTTGCATGATCTTTTGGGTTCAGCTTGGTTGCTCAAAGTAAAATAGGACTACAGATCTTGGCTAACCTAAAACACCACTTCTTCTTTTTGAAAAGGTTTGGCTTAAATTCTTCAGCATCAGATCTTTCATGTGACAAATCTTCAAGCACAACTAGTCATGGCTTTATCTACAGTCTACACCAGGGGTTCCCAACCCTGTGCCCGCGGGCGCCATGGCGCCCGCTGAACGATTCGTATGTGCCCGCCTCTCACTATTCGACAGAAACAGAATTTTTTTCTTAAACATTATTTTAAAATATGATTTATTTTTAAACATGTTTCACAGTTTTAATTTTATTTTGGCTGCCTAGGTTTATTAAATATGTTCGATACTGGTCCCAACTTGTCTAGCGGCGAGACAGACTGCTCTATTTACGTTTTGTAAATACATTTCTCTGTGTGTATGCAATTTGAAAAAAAAAATGCCAAATAATTTTATTATTTTGAAACCTTTTTGTTTATCATTTATTAATACATTATGACTATAAGAAAATAAGAAAATAAATTATGGGAAAATGACAAGTTATGGAAGGAGTTTGTCGATTTAAAATAGGTGGTGCCCGCCACCCTACCGATATTTTAGAATGTGCTCTAGAGTAAAAAAAAAAAAGGTTGGGAACCCCTGGTTTACACCATTATAATAAGATCAGGCTTGAAAAAAAAGACGAACAAAATAAAAATTGAAGTTTAGTTATTGGCTATGTTAATAAAAGCTTGAAATGTATTAAAATTTGAAAAAGCGTCCATTTATAAAATTAAGTTAACTGTAATCAATAAACATGTGTTGTTGTTTTCAAATCATTTGCTTGAATCACAAAAATATAGGCCCTACCAAAAATAAATTTCGAATTTTTAGTCTACACCAAGTGAAATTAACATAACATTTTTAACAAGATCTAGATCTATAAATAATCTCAGCAGTAAAACAAAAGAAATTGAAAACCAGAGGTACACTACATGCAACAACATTACAATAACTATATCGGTTTTGTTTGTTGGATATCTGTGGAAGTAACACCAAAGTCAACTCAAATGACAATTATAACGCATTAATATTTAAGCACATTTTATTTAAAAATATAGTTAAACACACATAAAAAATCGGGTGTATTTTATGCAAACAGTTGTTTTTTTAAACACATCGTCTGAAATAACCACTAAAAATAACTCTAAATGGAAGACTATTACACAAACCACGATCTTTTTTTTACTAAAACACAAACAAAGCAAGTGTGGGGTAAAAAAATATAGATTTACCTAAGGCTTGCGTTTGTTTCATCTTTTATTCCCTACACTGTCGGCAGGTAGACAAACACTGCTATGTAAATGAGAACTGTGTGGGTGTTAAAAGTGGCACGTTTGTTCTTTCAGTGTTCGGGAAACAAAGTTACTTGGCTGTGTCAAGACTAGTGTTGAGAGAATTTTAAAATTTGTTCATGCAATGTTCGGGAAACAAAGTTACTTGGCTGTGTCAAGACTAGCGTTGAGAGAATTTTAAAATTTGTTCATGCAATGTTCGGGAAACAAAGTTACTTGGCTGTGTCAAGACTAGCGTTGAGAGAATTTTAAAATTTGTTCATGCAATGTTCGGGAAACAAAGTTACTTGGCTGTGTCAAGACTAGTGTTGAGAGAATTATAAATTTGTTCATGCAATGTTCGGGAAACAAAGTTACTTGGCTGTGTCAAGACTAGTGTTGAGAGAATTATAAATTTGTTCATGCAATGTTCGGGAAACAAAGTTACTTGGCTGTGTCAAGACTAGCGTTGAGAGAATTTTAAAATTTGTTCATGCAATGTTCGGGAAACAAAGCTACTTGGCTGTGTCAAGACTAGCGTTGAGAGAATTTTAAAATGTGTTCATGCAATGTTCGGGAAACAAAGCTACTTGGCTGTGTCAAGACTAGCGTTGAGAGAATTTTAAAATTTGTTCATGCAATGTTCGGGAAACAAAGTTGCTTGGCTGTGTCAAGACTAGTGTTGAGAGAATTTTAAAATTTGTTCATGCAATGTTCGGGAAACAAAGTTACTTGGCTGTGTCAAGACTAGCGTTGAGAGAATTTTAAAATTTGTTCATGCAATGTTCGGGAAACAAAGCTACTTGGCTGTGTCAAGTATTGAAGAATAATACCCGACAGAGATGAACATACATGCCTCCAAATGTATGTATCTACACATTGAATGGAGATGCGGATAGCATTTAGTACATTGGGTAGGGGAGAACACTTAGACAAGGAATATTTTCAGCAGTATTTACCATTAGCTTCCCCTGCTAGAAGCGTATGCACCTGAGAAACCAAGGCTCCAAGACAAATTATTTGCTGAGATCTTATTAGATGTCCAATATTCATTGTTATTAACAATATTTTGGTGAAATTATTTTGATTGAATACATGTTTTTTATCGTGAGCTGATGGCAAGGTCTTCAATTAAAATACCACTAATGATTAATGCATTGTCTAGAAAATCTGCCAGAATAATATCTTTCTAGCTATATTGTTGTAATGCATTGTATACGTAACACGTTATCTCACTATATCTCATCACATCAACGGTGTAAGCTACACATTATCTCACTATATCTCATCACATCAACGGTGTAAGCTACACATTATCTCACTATATCTCATCACATCAACTGTGTAAGCTACACATTATCTCACTATATCTCATCACACCAACTGTGTAAGCTATAACCCATGTTATCTCATTATACCTCATAGCATACATTATGTAAACAAAACATTATATCTCACCGCATTCAGTGCGCACAAATCACTTTACTGAATTTTTTTCTTCACAATTCAAAGGTTATGTTGATGGAGAGATTTTGTACCAATGTTTGAAATGGCTGTAATTAAAACAAATTAATAAATTCAAAAAGAAATAAAATATTGTATACAAACGCTTTTGTCATCTTATTATTAACGCTTTAGTTGGTCGTCAAAAAAAAAACATCAAGACTTCTTCTGACGATTTTTACTTTCCCTGCTCCCATTGTCAAAAATCGTCACAAAAAGTAAGAAACTCCCCCACCGAAAATTATGCCACTTTTCAGCCTACGCTCTCCCGTCCGAAATAGCAGTTTTTGTGTAACGGCTATCTCTAAAGTGTTGAATGACCTCAGTCATGGTTGAACAAATTTAATTACAAGGTCACCAAAAGTCTTTCAAAATTCAAAAGAGTTGCTGAAATTTAGTTTCAAAAACTACTTTTTAAATTATATTGTAACGTCAAACTTCATGCCCCCCCCCCTCCCTTCCCACCAATTCACGTCGTCACACATCTTCGCAAAATAATGATTCCCTCCCTTTTCACCACAGGGTGGTTGGGTGGTAAACTGCTATCAGCAAACCCTAACGACTGGAGTTCAGATCTCGGACTCGATTCTGTATGTCGTCTGTAAGTCCACCCAGCTCTGATGGGCACCAGATTCACATTATGGAAATAAGGACGGCGATGCGTAGTGCTGACCGTACCATCCCTTCTAATGCCGTGGTGATGTCAAGAAACAGGTGAACTCTACTTCATCTGCCCTACAAATCGACATCCCCGGGATGGGAATTCCGTGAACTGTTATGTAAACAGGGAATTATGGTGAATAGGCCTATATCTTTAAAAATATCAATGTAAAAAGAACACTCACTTTATGAAGTAACACAATGCCTTTACAAATATCAATGTAAGATGAATTCACTTACTTTATGAAGTAACACAATACCTTTACAAATATCTAAGTAAGAAGAACATTCACTTTATGAAGTAACACCAGTGGCGTAGGCAGGGGGGTTAGGGGGGTCATAACCCCCATAGACCCCTCGGTATATATATGTAACTAGGGGAAGTTACCAAGAGACATAACGTGTTACAGTCTGACGTCACAGTGCAGGTGTTGGCTGATGCCAAGGCGTAGTATCTCGGGAAGCGATACGAAAGACGGTCTGTCAACTTTGATGTGACAGGATGCAGGTGGCTTATTAAAATCGGACTGTACGACAGAAGCGGCGTAATTAACAGTCTGATGTAACGATTAGAATCGATTACAATTACGATTATGATAGGACCGAATATGAGTACGATTATGAAGGGGATATAAGGAAGGCGACGGCTGAGCTCGAAGTCTCTCTCAGAAAGTCGGTCTCGGAAGGTCTGTCAGTCAGTCCGTCAGTCTCTCTCTCTCGCTCGCTTTCGATCAGTGAGTCTGTGTGGCAGTATCAAGTTGGTTATATTGTGTTAAGAAGGACGTTAGACATGTGTATTCAGTTAGATGAAGCCTAGTGAGGACTGTTGGGGGTCCGTTGATTCAGACTATTATTGTGAAACATCTCTCTTGATTCAATATATTATTGTGAAACATTCTTTGATTCATGTAATAAAAGGATCAATAATGAACCTGCATCTTCGAGTATCTATGCTGTGGTCAATGTTGTGTGGAATGAGTGGTTAGACTCGGGAAGGTCACATTTGGCGTTGTCGGCAGGGTAGCCAGAGACTCGTTACATTTGGCGTTGTCGGCAGGATAGACTCGGGGACTCGTTACATTTGGCGCTGCGACCAGGATGAATTCAACGAGACTTGCCGCTTTAGGCACCCATAGTCAACCTAGTTCATAACTGTGTTAATTTGTGTGTGAATTCGGATATTCAGGAACAGTGAAAATTGAGGAACGAGGAAAATTTTTTTCATACACACACGGTAAGAAAGAACTCTTTTTTTTTTTACTAAAGGAATAAAATGTCTACTCTGGACGAGAAGCAGACCCATATTGTGGTCCTGCCCAGAGAGTCCCAC